AGTCTTGATCTTTTAGAATTTCAACTTTAGTTGAATTTTAGTCCAATTAACAAATTCTTGATCATATTTGACTTTTTTAATATTAGTACTTATTTGTGTAATATAATTACTATAAATGCTAATTTGATATCTGGAGCCTTTTTATATTTGTACTTATTTGTATGATATATTTATTATAAATGCTAATTTGATATCTTCTATCCAAAGTTGTATAACAATCTACTTTGCAATTCCCAAAAATAAACAATAGATAGGGTCTACAATTACATGTTTAATTGGGTTAAAATAAGAAAGACAGTAGAGTTCTGACTATCTCACTAAGTTTTCAGAGAGGTGTTTTTTCTTTGATTCTCAGTCTTGCAATGAAGCCATTCATATACATCTTTTTTAATTTTCTCAATATTACACTCTACAAACAAGTCATCCATATCCGAAAATTTACCAAAATTAGGTTAATGTTTAGAATCAAACTGTGCATATTTTTCACATTGAAAACATGTGATTCTTGCTAATATTTGTCCACATAGTTTTTTGGCCACTAGAATATCATATAAGTAACATATAATAGAACATTAAATTTTTTTGTTATTAGAAGATTTATTTGTAGAAATTTCTACTCCATTCCACAGTTCAATTAACTGATCAATCAAAGGTGCAAGATAATGATTAATAGAATCTGTTTTAACTTCTTTGAGTTCTGGTAGCAATGCCAGAGTAATTATATTCTAAAGTTTGAATCTAAGTTTACAAGGCAAATTACAGATATTGCACTAGTAGAATATACTGAATTTTGGAAAGAACTAAACTAGTCCAGATTGATCATAAGGCCAAGATGTGTATTGGCATATTCTGATATGAAGAAATCTTCATCTTGGTTTTTAAAATTTTCTATATATTATTATTATAAATATTGGCAAGATAATTATTATATATATTTCTATTAACTATTTTCTACATAATTTTTCAAATCCATTTTGGCTGTATAATAACTTGAGCTAATGTTTAATACTGATTGTTGGATAAGTTAGCAAAGGATAAAAAAACATTTCATCCTTTGTAGATACCTTCTTTGCCAATTGTTGATTGCAAGGTTGTCTCTGTTTAGATATTGGGTGACTAGGATATTTTATAAAATTATAATTAAAACATATCAGGCTTTGTCCAGGCCTTTTTGTTGTTACTTTATCAGATTCATATCACTTATTACATGCTGAGCAAGTTGAATAATTATTCATGCATAGATCTAATCCTATTAATTTTTAGGCTATATATAATGATTTGTAAAAATTTTTAAATTGTTTTAATTAAGTTTAGTCACCAAATAATATATAAACTTAATTAATGATTCTGTTGCAGTATTGGGCAGCCAATATCTTTGTTGGTATTTCAAGATCTATATTAATATCCAACTAAAGTCTTCAAGATTTTCAATATTTTTAAATATTTCTTTATTACTACTTTCAATATCGGGAGCTAGAGATAGCAAAAAACATGTTTTTTATTTTTTCATGTTTTAAAATATGTTTTAAAACATGTTTTAAAATATGTTTTAAAACATGTTTTAAAACATTTATTATGTTTTTTATTAAATAATATATATATATAATTTTAGCCAGGTGAGGTGCTATTAGATATTTAAAGTAGCAACTTCAAATAAGTAGATACTTTAGATAAGTGATATGCCAATTATATAATTTTTGAATTTTATAATTTGTTCTAGAATATTCTAAACGTTTTGCATACATAGCACAATACTACAAATAATAATATGATTAAAATTCTATAATCTGATTAGTTACTAAATATATATTTGATTTTATTGTTTTTATTGAAAATTTTCAATGTTTTAAAACATTTAAAACATGTTTTAAAACATTCGCTATCTCTATTGGAAGCAAAATAATCTATTATGGTCATTATTATCACTTTTAGGTTCAATTTTTGCAACTTCTTCATAATCAGAGTTATCTAAGGTTTCAAGTACTATATTGAATTCAGATTGTTTTCTAATTATAACTTTTGTTTTCTTTTTATCCTTTTTAGTTACAAATAATGTTTTTCTTGAAGATTAATATTAGTTAAATCTGGAATATTAGATAGAGATATGCTACTGCTTTCTATTTAAGGATCAGTAGACAAAGGAATATTAGTATGAAGTTCAGAAAAACTTGCTAATTCCTTACAAATTCTATATTTTTAATATAAGCATCTCTTGTCTGAGAATCACAGAGTTCTTTTTTATCTTTGCATATATTATTTATACAAATAACCTTTTTTCGAGTTTTTGTTGCAGATAATTTAACAAATACTTGATGACTCATTTTTAAAGTAATTTAAAAGTTTTATATTAATATTGTTAATATTAGGAAGCTAGACAAACAAAAAGTCTTTAAATACAAAATTTTTATTAATATACTTTTTATATACTATGTTGCTATAATTTTTTGTAGCCAAACAAGCCTACTAAATACAGTATTTTATATACACACAATAAAGCCCCAAACTGTGATAACAAAATATAAATATAACTCTTTCAAAATTTAATAAATTTTTTTTTATATTTCTTGGGCAACATTATTTTATAGTTATATTATGCATTTTAATTACAAATCTATTAATACAATTTATAAGTTTCTTTTTTTTCAAAAATACATTTTGAATATAAAAATTTTGTAATATTTATCTATTTCTTGTTAAACAACAAATCTCGGAGTTTTACTACACATAGGCCAAAATAGAATATCAGTAATTAGTTTATCAAAACTAAAAAGGAATAGCATTAACCACAATGTGATTTTTCTAGATGAACATAACAATAATATGTACTGTATAATAATATTTATATATAAGAATTTAACTATAATTAGTAATAGAATGCTTATATGTATATATGTAATAAAGTTTAACTAAACTTAAATAGACAACAATGAATATATCAATATAAATTAGACACTTGGTATAACATGCCAATATTTATATTAAGTACCTAAATTTAAAAGATTATAATTAAAATGCAACTATAATAAACTTCTAAATTATATAGTTAATATAACTCTATTTATATTTTTAATAATAATAATAATAAAATTAATTAATTGGCGATCCACCAGTCAGTCAGAAAGTGATTATAGTAAAATGTAACTCAAATTACTTATAAAAATTGGTGGTCTCTGAATATAATATGCATGCATCTAAAACTTTTTTCTATATTAAGTTAATCAGCTTTCTAACTTAAAAGACTTTTGTAAAGCTTGTCAAGATGCATCTAATTGTAGTTAGAACATCAAAATCAGCTTGGTGGATACTGAGATATCTTTAAAAAAGTTTCTTTTACTATGTAAACTTTTTTACAAACAATACTATTGTTTGCAAAAAAGTTTACATAGTAAAAGAAATATTTTTTAAAGATATCTCAGCATCCACCAAGCTGATTTTTATGCTCTAAACACTATTAGATGCATCTTGACAAGCTTTACAAAAGTCTCTTAAGTTAGAAAGATAATTAACTTAGTATAGAAAATGTTTTAGATACATGCATGCCACATTTGGAAACCTCTAATTTTTATAAGTAATTTGAGTTATATTTTACTATGATCACTCTCTGATTGACTGGTGGATTACCAATTAATAAAATCAATTGGTCTAGTTAATTAGTAATAGTATTCTGATATTGATTTCAAATTAAATTCAATTGAATTAATAAATGCTTTATAAATAAAATATTTAATATCTAATATAAATAAATAATCTCTATATCTATAATAATATAAAATAATATAATTAGTAATTTATAAATTTATAATAAAGAAAACTTAAGTATTCTGATATTTATATAGAATTATATTTTACCAAGGGAAAATCAATTTAGAATATTAAAATTTATAATTTATCTGGTTCAGTATATTTGAATTCTTAGGTATTGTATTCTAAAATTTAAAATTCTGAAGCCCATACATGATGATAGTATGTGTTTTGTTTTGATGCTATATAATAAACAAAAAAAATAAATATGCTGTAATACTTGTATAATACACTCTTCTTTGTTTTTTTTTAAAGATAATAAAAAAAACAAGTTTTTATTATTTTTTCTTCTATACAAGAAGTACTTACTATATCACTTCAAAATATAAAGTCTTCATATTATTAAATATGAGATTTTTACATATCTCAAGTAGTATGTTTTGGTTATCTTCAAGTGTTTCTCATTTATTAATAACTGTGAAAGAAGCAAAAATAAAGAAATTGAAAAAATGAACGAAAGAGGTAATAAATTAATAATATTATATATTGTATATATATTTGTAGCATATATGCATATTAGATATAATTCTATCTGAGGTGTGGCGATTTAGTGAAGTGGTCTAGTTGTCACTCTCACCAAACGTTATGGGAAGATCCCATGTTCAAATCCCAGAGACAGCGCTTTTGTAATATGGGAAAAGTCTGCAATGATCTTCACTAAGGTTGGCCCATGGAGAATCTGTCGAGACGGTGTTTGGTGGCACTGTTGAGGTGATTCTGGAAGGCTGTAATTTGTGGGCTTTGTATAGCATAGGTCACAGAACCAGAGATCGAAGCCCGTTTAGGAATTTTCTCATTATGCGAAGTTTTTAAGTGTGAATTTCTTATTTCTAATTTTCTTGCGTAGTATGATGATCAATTATGTAATTATTATTTTCTTATGATTGATGTCATATTTGATCATTTAATTTTGAAATTTTCTCATATTTAGATCACGGGTTTTGTATGCGATTTATTTAAAGTATTAGTGGTAAAGTGTAAAATTTTGAATTAATTATATTAGTGTTGTTATTGTAATATTTTTTATATATATATTTATTATTTTTGTTATTTATTTACATATATTTAATATTATTATTGGTTTATTTTATTGTTATTATTTGTATTATATAAATAGTATAAATAAATTGGTATTTATAAGAATGTTGTATTGTCATTAGTTATGATTTTTGTTTGAAATTTAGAATATTTGATTTATTATGCCTTGTTATGCAGACACTATTGTAAAGATTAAATATGTTCGTCAATCTGAAAATAAGAATAATAAGAATTTATTGATTGTACGGGCTGTCGGAATGTATCCAATAGATTATGAAGATAGAGAAGTTGAAATTGTTTCGTTTGTTCCTCTTAATCATTCTGAGAGAGATCCTGAAAGTCAGGTTGTTTTTGAGAAGAATAGTTTCTATTCAATTAGAGGTAAAATTGTTCCTGTATATTATGGAGATGCTAAAAGACCCAAGGCAATTGTTATTTGTAGATGAATCTTTTTATTATATTTTATTGTAATTATTATGATAATATATTTATTTTTTGTTTGGTTAGATGATGATTTATATATCTAGTGGAGTGGGTATTTTGAATAGTGCTATAAATTTGAATAAGTGCCCGATGAAGATTTCTTTGGTAAGAATTCCTCAGGAATTACTGAGGGTGATTGATGATGAGAGCACTGTTTTTGATGTTTTGGTTAATGATTATGTTGGTCAAGAGGTGAATTTTGTTGTTAAAATAGTATTTGATTATTCAAATTCTCGTCTCACACATTTTAAAAGTACTATTCATCTACAAGATTCACTTGTATTTATTGTTGGTCAATTGGAAGTTATTGCAAATGATTTTTATATCTATGCAAAAGATATTAATTATATTAATACTCAGTTCTTATTGAAAAGTAAAAGTTCTGTTGGTAGTAATTCTTATAATCGTTCAGAGAATGAAAGTGCAGTTAGGTCGAGACTTATTGCTACTTATCATAATGTTCAAAATTCTAAAGAGTTTTCTGAAGTTAAAGCTTCAACATCTAGAAGTTCAAATGATTTTGAAGGCGATAATGAATTTGGTTCTTTATCTGGTGATAATTCTTCTACAAAACATATGAAAGTTGAAGATGTTAAAAATTTAGCAAATAATTCTGATTATGAGAAAAAAAATTAATGAATCTGATAAGGGAACAAAGGATGAGAAACAATTAAAGAATTTTCGTAATAGTAAGAATGGAAAAAATTTTGTGGGTCATTCTTTGTAGTTCTTCTAAGTTAGATAATGTTCATAGTGTTGACAAAAAGGAATGAAGTTTATTTATTTTTTTTTTTGGTATTAAGATGAGGCCTTGCTTGTATCTTTATTGATTAATTTAGATAAATAATTACATATCAACTATATAAAGACTTAATTTGTATAATAACAAATAAATATAAATTATATGCAAAAATAAAAGATCAGACTAAAAGTTTAACCTAAAAGCTAACTAATTATCTGCAACCTAAACCTACTAGAGTGGTCTAGACTTACCTAGATTTGAATTGTTAGGATTTGGTTAATAGGTGTATTATATTTGATTCACGTAGTGGACCATGTATTGATTTTAAGGGTAGCTTGTTCTAGAAGAGGACAAGTATTAGTTTTGGAATGTAGTTGGTTAGCGGAGCCACAAGGACAACTGTAAGTATAATTAGTTTTGTTTCTTCTGTTGATTGAGCATAGAGAAGATTGTGGTGGAGTATTATAGTTGGAGTAAGAAGGAATTTGGTGAGATTTTTTCCAGTTAGAAAAGTTGGTACAGTATGGAATCCAGATATTGCTATAAAGTTGGTTGGAGATTTTGAGAAGGAATGAAGTTTATTGATTTTATTTGTTTTATATTTTATTATTATTATCATTATTATTATTATTATATTATTATTGTTGTTTATTATTATTAAATAAAAGTAATTGCTTTTTTTATATGTTTATTATTTTGGTTTGTTTTATTATATTATAGTTAAGTTAGATAGTTTAATTTTTTTGTAAATAGTTGAATATTTTGATTTTAGTGTCATGATAATAATAAATGATAGTAATAATTTTAGTGGAAATTTTAATTTTTATTTATGCAAATATTATTTATATATTTATATTTTATATTAATTTTTAATTTTTATGCTATTAAATATTTTATCAATCATCATTTGTATGATGATATTATTATTAATTTATTTGATTAGTTCTGAATATACTATATTTTTTGTGGTAAAAGATCCCAGTTGATAGCTTTTTTCAGTGAGTATTAATATGTGGTTTCATTCACGAACTCGTGTTAAGGCAGTATAAAGTTGACCATGACTAAATACTGGTGTACGTAGATCAAGTATAACACGGTTTAATGTCAGTCCTTGTGAGGAATTAAATGTTGAAGAGTATGCTAAACGTAAAGGGAATTGATGACAAGAAATTTTGAATGGAAAATAGAGAACGTGAAATAAAAAGGTAATTCGTGGTAAATGTATAATACTATTTTTTGTAGGATTTAGTACACTTATTAGTCTATGACCTATGTTTGTAATTATTACTCTTGTATTTTTACATAGTCTGTCATGTAGTGAAAGGTTTCGCATTATAGTTGCCACACAGCCATGTTTTAGTTTGAGACAATATTTGGGAACTCCAGATGCATTGAATGAATTCAATAGTTCTGAATAAATCATATTTCTTTGATACATATTATTGTTTTGAAGTTTGCTATTTTCATTATCTGCTAAGTCGTCTGCACTATATAGTTCAGTTGCATCACCTTCTAGTTGGTTTAAAATAGTATCATTAATTAGATTAACTTCTATGTTTAATGGACAGAGAATAGCTTGTTGAAGACATTCAGTTGGGTTATTTAATAAATGAGCTGGGAAAGTAAAATTGATAGTGTTATTTAAGTTGTCTGTTGTATTTAACAAAAATAAGGTAACATTCTCTCTATTAGAACCATCAGCAATATTGTCCATAAATTGTGAATATATGTTAGGTCATTTGTATCTCGTATTGGAGTTTGAAGAATATAAACTTTGAAATTTTTCCAAATTGGCGAAGATTTGATTGATTCAAGTATTGTGGTGGCATGTCCTGCATGTGGAATTACCAGAGCAACTTGGTAAAAATCTCCTAGGCCAATAAAGATTTTTCTACCAAAAAGTAAGTTGCATTTACAGAGATTTTTTAGTAGTATATCTATTGCCTCTATGTTACTCTTTTGGGCCATTGGTAGTTCATCCCATGATATAGCAGATGATTCTCTTATTAAGTTAGCACGTGCGCTATTAGGGTTAATTTTACATTCACACTCATCGTCTTTAAATTCTATTAGAATGCGGAATAACGAATGTGCTATGCGCCCTCCGTCATAATTAAGTGCCACTAACCCAGTCATTGCGCAAGGTAAAATTATTTTTTTTAGACTTCTTATTGCAATGCATATAGTATTTGCTAAAAAGGTTTTTCCACGGCCTGCATATCCATTAATAAATAATGTCAAAGGTTTGTTTTCTTGTACATGGTTTAAAACTTCAAGATATATTTTTTTTTGTTCGGGGTTTAATTCGTCAAACATTTTTCTCTTTCTATAATTAATTGATTGTAATTATTGTATTGTTGTGTGGTTCATGTTATTTTATCAAGACAGCCATGTTGTTGAGGTAAACCACACTGTGTTATATCACAGCTATTTTCTTTTAAGAAATTATCTATCTATAACAACACTTCATTTTCACCTTGCTGTTGATTATTTGTTTTGTTTATATAATCTTTGGTTAGTAATTTGTGATAATTTTGCCATATTGTTTGTGTCATCATAGCTTCTATTATAAGGCAGCATAAAAGTAAACATAATTGTTCCAGTGTACAATTATATGAAACAGCTTCAGTAAAACATAGTTCGTTTTCATCTATATCATTTAATAATCCTAAAGCACATGCTGCATCTTGAAAAGTAGAGTACGATGTTCTATTTACTTTTCGTAACTCTTCAAATGATCGGGCTGCACAATAGCTTAACAACATATGAAGATAATATTTCTTGCCTATGTATGGGTGTATTATATTCATTCTTGCTATATGAATGTGATTTTTTTTGTAAGGTTTAACAATATGTTAATGACATCCTATATATTTATTTTCTAAATAAGTATTTTTGAGGTAGTTAATATTGATCAGTTATATTTTCTATATAACTAAAAGTATATAATTCATTATATCTACAATATGTAAGATCATTAAATGCTGTGTTTGTTGGACGAAGAAAATATCTTTGTAATGTAGAAAGTTTGATGTTATAATTTTTATGTAAGATTATTTGTTCATTGGGTAAGTGAATCAGTAAACATGTCACTGATGACATTTGTGAAGTTATATTATATTTAAATATTTGCCAAATTACTACCATAGCTGAAAGGTATTGAGCATTAAGGTAATCTTTTATTTCGTTAACAATTATTTTATCTGTTTCGTTATTTTCATTTGTTTGAATTCTTATTTCTGCTCTATCTGGCCCTTTATATATGTATTTGTAAAGGTATTAAACTATATATGGTGTTGAAGCTACTTTGACATTTATATAACAATTTAACTTTAGTAAAAGATAAGAGTTATATGGTACAATTTTGCTATCATTCTCACTTCGACATTGATAATTTATATAACCTTGATTGTCAATTGTAGAGTATTCTTGAATTGATTTAGGATAATTCCATTGACACTTATTGTTTTTTTGTGTATATCTCTGGCTACATTTATGAACTATAAATTGGTTTACTAAATCTCAAAGATGAATTTGGCATGAATTATTTTCTGTAGAGAGTTCTGCACTAACAACTTTATCAATATTTTTGGGTTGAAATAGATTTGGTATTAATTTGATTATAATATGAGCATGGGGTAAGCCACGTTTTTGAAATTCAATTGTGTGCATATAGTATATAATTTTGCCAAAATATTTTTTTATTAATTCACGCAAATAAGTTAAACGTTGTTTGAATGCATGTATTACTATATCTGGTCTATCAGCATAATTTTGCCCAGTTTGCAATTGATTTTGAATTTCTTGCCAATTCAGATTTGTAGTAAAAGTTATAAAGAGTGTCGGTTGTCCAAGTTTGTTCACAATTGTTAAAGCATCTATTGTTTTTTTATATAACCATCTATATGAAAGTGTATGCGATGCTGGTAGATAAATATTTTCAGTGTTTAATTCTGCTTCATCACTAAGTGATTCATCTTTTTCTTGACCCCCTCTTCTAAATCTGTTTTGTTGTTTGCGAATAAATTGTAGACGTTCATCATCTGCTCTACTAAACATGTCTACTAAATATTTATTAAGTAGTTATTCTAGTAAATAAAACCTAGATTCTGTTATAATACGGTAATGATAATAGTCAACTTGTGAAATTTTTTGTATGTTAAAGTTTTCAAAGTTTGTCCAATGCATGTGCTAGCCTATTTCTCAATAAGGGAAAATAGTGGATATTGTAATGCTTCATAATTTTCATTAAGAATGTTGATATATTCTGGTTTGCTTTTATTTATGCACCAAATTTGCACATATCATTCTTGGGTAATAGCTGTTGAATGAATGATCGTGTATGCAGCAATTTCATCATTAGCTGTTGGTTGGTGAATTATTAGTCGAGCTTTTGGATAAGTTATATTACGTAGTTGATATAGTCCTTGAACGAATGGATTGATCCTTGCTAGTTCTTGTTCAATAAGATCGATTATGTTTTGATTTAGTTTGTATCGATTCGCAATAGTGTTTCTTGCGTTAGCATCATAAACAAACCAGTTAACTGGATAGTCTTCCATGTTTGCAGAGTGTATTTGGTGATATGCATGACCATTTACTATAAATGCATGAGGATATGTTAAATTTACTACACCACCCGTATAGCCAATTGTTGTAAATGAAAAAAGTGAATTGTATTGTCGACTAACATAACTAAAATTATTAGTAAGATTTGATTTGTAGATATTTTGTAAAATAGGTAGTAAAGGTCGTAATAGTGGTATAAAATATTTTAAAATTGCATTGCAACAAAAGTTCTTTTGTTCCGATGGAAGATGTTTTGTTTCACATTCAATACACGATCGGTTCCAATTTGGTGTGTAAGCTTGTACATAGTTACTTTCAGTTAAGTTTGCTAATTTATTCCACCATAATTCGCAATTTTCATAATTGCTATTTTCATCATTTGTTGATGTTGTTGTTTCATGATTTTTTGATAATGGTCTAATGTTTCGTGTTTTTTGGTTGTTATAAAGGAAATATCTAAACTTTGATTTTTGGTTTCAAGTGTATCTTCCCATAATTATTAGTAGGTGTAAAACTATAAAGTTTTTTTTTAAATTAATGTTCGTGTTGATATGTAAGAAAATTGTAACTTTTTAATAAAATAAGAAAAATTTTTTTTTGTGTAATAGTATAGATAGCGTTATAGTTATGATAGAATTTGTGTTATAATCAGTAAGAAAAAAATTTTCATTTATAAGGATATTTGTCATTTTAAGTTTTAATTTATTCCAAATGTTAATTTATTTGTGTTAGTAATAAATTTTTGTGTAGTGAAATGAATATAAAATTGTTTTAGTTATGAAAAATATCATTATAGCTTTATTATTTGAAGGTAATTTAAAAAATTTAATTGTAATTAATGAAAAATATTATAATCATTATTACGAAATAGCCTAATTTGGATATTATTTCAATCTTGAATTCTATATTTATTACTATGAGTTTATTTAAAAAGATAATTTATTTGTGTTATTAATTATTAATAAATTATTTTTATTGGAATCAATGGAAAATTATATTAGCAATAATAAATTTTGTCACAATTTTATTATCTAAAACTAATAAAGGTAATTAAAAAATTTTAATAGTCATCTATGGAAAATATCATAATTATTACGTAATAAGCTAATCGGAACATTATTACTTTTTTTGAATTCTATGTTTATATTTTATTATTAATAGTAAAGGAAGTATTGTTTTAAAGATTTTATCATCTTGACGTAATTATTTGTTAACATTGTTGATCATAATTATATTTTTCGTAACTATTATTACAATCAAAATAAATATTAAAAGAAAAATTAATAAAATTAACATATTTTATTATATTTTATTGTTGAATTTTGCTATTTATCACCACTGGTGATCATCACTGGTGTTGCTATATCTCAAAAACATACTAAGTAAACGGGATCGGGTTCTCTAAGTAAAAATGTTCAGGACCCCCAAAAACCTCACGAAAACTAAGATCGGGCCCTATCGGGCCCTTATAGTAGTTATATATATTATATAAAAAAAACAATAATTCTCTAATTTCTAACCCTAACCCTAACTAATCTTAGGACTGGTGATGATCACCAGTGGTGATATGTAGTAATTTTCTTTATTATTAATGTCAAAGTAAGTATTGTTTTAAAGATTTTATTATGAGACGTAATTATATATTAGTTTTGTCGATCATGATAATATTTTTCATAATGATTACTACAATCAATTTTTATGACTACATTTTAATGTAAATTATATTTATTTATTTCAGAGTTCTAACGATTACTATTATCAATTTATTGATTATATTTAATGTATAATTATCTCATCATTTTTGTAAATTATTTTTATCCATTTCAAAGTTCTAACCTTTTTGAGATAATTATTCATATGTCATAACTGTGTGAAGGTTGAATATTTTATGACACATGATAGTATTACTATTACTTTTCATGTTAATAACTTTATAACACATAATAGTATTACTATTACTATTCACGTTAATAACTTTATAATGCATAAATATATTATATACTAGCATTACCGTTTATGTTAACAATTGTATAATGCATGAGTATATTATGACATATAAATTTATTATGACGCATGAATATATTATATACTAGATTATCATTCTGTTTTTATGTATTAATATATTCTGATGTAAGAATATATATATCCCTTAAGCTGTAGAGTTCGTGTAACAATTTTAGCTTAAAAATAGTATAAATTTAGTTATGATCTATTTTTTTT